ATTCTTCTAACTCAGTATCCAAATTTAACGCAGAGAATGAGTCAAGCGACTGCCACTGGGGAAACTATACCACTGTCTGGAGCCACCACCCAAAAGACCTCGTTTCTGCCTGACCTCTGAAGGTGGGGCACTCAAACGAAGGCTTCAGATATGACCTCAGTAAACAGGCAGGACTATACAAGTGAAAGAAAGGCCTTTAGACATCACAGTCATAGGTTATTCAGTGGTTTATAAACCAATACCAACGCCAGAGGCAGCCACTCATTGGCAACTTGGCTCATTTTACCCTCTGCGTCGAACATCAGGTGGTAGGGCAGAAAACCACCAGAGAGGAAGACCACAAGCTAGTGAATGAAATATGACGCAATCTCTCAAGGGAGAAAGGACACGACTGAATGGGAGACACTTCCGCGCCCCAATCGCTTTGATCTTCACAGAACCACCACTAAAATAGAGATTTCACAGCCACAGTGAAACTGGCAAGGTGAATAATTCGATTTCCCCGCCAGCCGCAGCCCGTCAAGCTTCGCCCACATGCCCTTTCCAGCTCTCCCTGGACCTTCCGTCCACAGGCACAGCCGAAATCTATGAATTACTACTCTGGTTTCCCACTTCTGAGTCACAAGCCTCTTTGTTTGTCACCTCACAACTCGCCTTCCCTTGGCAACCACTATCGCCGCAGTGTTTGCTGAGGCAGGCGGGTAATTTCGAGGGAGCCTTTTTATCTCGGCCGGCAAATGGGAAACGGCCCCGGCAGCCTCCCCAAAGGGGTGGGGAGGATTTGCATCTGGGGCTGTTTGCAGGGTAAACACAGTTGCCAAGGGAGCAATTTCACACGTGTTCCTGAGAGCGCCCACTGCTCCAAGGTGCAGCGCAGCAGCCAGTGAATCAGCCACCCAAGAACAGGGCGGGAAGCTTCAAGCGCTGCAGGTTAATGGCTGAACAAGTTACCAATCCAGACATTCCTGATCGCAATCTCGTCTCTGCCACCGGTGCACTTAAGCAAGTCTCAGAGTCCATCTCTCTCTCAGCCCCAAACCTGAAAATGGGAACAATACTGGCCTACCTTACAGGACTGTTGTAAGGATCGCGCCACAAGACACACTCAAAGCATTTTAAATGCTAATTTACATTTTCCAAAAGGAGAAAAACTGAAGAATAAGACGAAATGTATGCGTGATCCCAGCCTGCTCCACTTATTCTCCCAGTCCTTTCCATCCTGCTTATTCCCACTTTCTTGTCCTTCTCTTCCCTTATCACCACTATTAGTGCCAAAATGTACACCAATTGCTCCTTGGGGCAGGGACTTCTTGTGTTGTTTGTGTTCCATTCCCATACATTACTAAAAAGAGCTCAAAGGATTCGGAAAGATTCCCCCCCAGCAAAACGCATCAGGGTCGTATCATTATTACAGATTCTATTTCCTTCTGCACCAATTCGTTTCTTCATCTTCGTTTTGCCCTGGTGCAGCCCCCTTTTTCTCCACTGCCTTTGGGACAAGCCGTTCCAAACAAACGTGCAACACACTGTAACCCCGACTCCTGCCCTGTGTTTAGGGAAGCAGCTACGGAAAAGGCCAACAGAAAGAAACTGGGGTGCTTAATGCTTTCCTGCCGATCCCCTCCCCCTTGGCCATAAGCCTTGCTGGTTGACCTTCAGCCAGTGACTCTTTCTCTCTGCCTCACCCAGGGGTCCGCCAGGTGTTTTCAGGAAATGGGTTGGGCCAGGTAGGGCTTCTGACTGGTACTGCAGATTTTTAAAAAATGTTGCTCTGGCAGCAGCTGCCACCACAGCACAAGAATCTACGCTGTGTTTACTGAAGTTAAGCTGTGGCCATCATTTTGCGGCTGGCTCTGCCTCCTGCGGCAGCCATTTTGTTGCTGCACCCACCACGCCATGTCAGAATTCCAAATGTGCCCGCCGGCTCAAAGAGGTGGGCGACGCCTGGCCTATCCCACCTTGCAAGGTTGTTGTGATGTTAACGTGGAGAAGGGGCTGAAACCCTACAGCCGCCTAGCATACCAGTGGCAGCGACGCAATTTGAGCGAGAAACTTCAACAGCCCCATTACAGAGCATGACCTTGAAAAGCAAATCCCAATGCTGAAAAGGTAATTGGATGTCAGGCCAATCTGCAAACAGTCCTTGGAAATTTGATCTGATTGGTTATGTGTTCCGTACAGACACAACTATAAAACTGATATCCAAGCTTACTTTAGGTGATTGCGCTTTAAAGAGAACCGGTGTGAAGGGCAAACGCCACTCCTGCCACTTCCCCCTCCTGACCGTACTGCAGATCCAACGCTAAGCAACAGCCGGGTGCCCGTGTAAAGGAATGGCCACCCAGCCCCCGGCAATGCCATCTTTAAAAAGCTCAGCTGCACGGCACAGACCGCCTGGATCTAAATGCAGAAGCTTGCATTGTGAGTCGATATGTGCACGAAGTTTTCTAAAGAGGGAACCTATGGCGGGACATGCCAGTTAAATATAAAACAGTGAGCTGCTTTCAGAGGCATCTGTTAAGATGCAGCGTGGGCTTTGAGTGAGACTAAAAGTTTAAGGATCCTGATCCACGATTGCCAGGGAAGCAGAAGGATTTTTCTTAAATGGAATTCCCTTACAGGTCCCTTACAAGAGCTGGCTTGATTAAATCACCTGGAATGGCTGGGCTGGGCGCCTTCAAGAGGCTCACAAGAAAATCTGGAAGGCAACAGCTTTCCTCTCCTCTGTGTCCCCTGCAATCTGGTATACTGCTCCTAAATATGGAGGTTTTAGTGAGCCAGAACAGCTCATAGCCACTGGCAGACCCATCCCCAACTCCAATCAGATCAGATCCTTTTCATGTCAAGAGGGGCAGAGGAAGCGTCCCTTCGATGCTTCTCAAATGAATGGCCTGGAAGAACAAGTCCAAAACCATAGAAGAAGGTTAGAATGCTGACTTTGGCATAAAGCCTTTATGCCTTCTTGAGTCCCGTGGTCTCTGCCAGAACTCAGCTACACCGCAGAAGCCAGAGTAGACGGAGACCAGAGTCCCGTGGTCTCTGCCAGAGCTGCACCGCAGAAGCCAGAGTAGACGGAGACCACTTTCACACTATCAAACAGCACAGAATGTGGTCACTAACAGTTGCACGCGCTTCTCTGAAAATCTGAGCTTTCATTCAAAACAGGACACAAGTTGCTAGTCCTCAGATTTGAAGAAGAATTTTAAAAAATGGCCCAAGACCACCAAATGTTTGGAAACTAGAAAACTTTGGGGAAGGTGAAAGTTACTCTGCCAACTTCCCACTCCTTTGCCATGGCTGCCAGCTCTTGCATCTTTGTACACCCATTGCTTCTGGGTGTTCAAGTACCAACCCTCCTCCTCCAGCTCATGATCAAAAAAGCCAGGGATCACCACGCCCTACCATCTCTACCACAAGAATGCAGCCAGCCTACAGTGAACTGTATCCTGTAATTGGCTGTATCTCCATAAATTATACCAGTTGCAGAAATCTGGAGGGTGGGGGGGGGGCAGGTTAAAATTCCACCACCACAACCCCAAAAGAAAGGCTTAAGACAAAAGGAGAACAGCATGCAGGAAAAATCTACAACTGAGATTATTTGGAAGGGGACTATGATGCTGGGGAGGGAACCCAGTGATGGCTAAACCCTGGCCGAGCCCTGTGGGGAAAAAGGCTCCCACACTTTTTCCTAAGCACATGAGTGAAGCGCAAGTACAAAAATTCCACACTCCGAGGCCAGAACGTTGGCTATTCTCAACATTCTCTTCCATGCAGCCAAGGAAGCATTCTCCATTCAGACTTAGGTTTTGCCAAAGATAAAACTCACAAGAATTCAAAGGATTGGGAAATCCAAGAAAATCTGCATGACACATGCAAAATTAAAGCCCTCTATAGGCTGAGGACAGGCTGCTCCTGCCCAAGCCAACACTGGGACTGAATTATCTATCGAATGGATAAAACTGGAGGCAGCTGCTCTCTCTCCTGAGTCAGAGCAACCGGGGTTGCCCGGGAGTCTGCCACGAGTTCAGTGCGCCATTTTGCCGGGCACCCCCAAACTGAGCCGTAGCCAGCAAGATGGAGGTCACAGAAAACCATTTCGACAACCCCGTCACCGAAGGTGGAGGAAAGAAAGCGATCGACTAGTAGACCCGTTGTGTGACCAGCCCAGCTGCTGGTGGAAAGGGGTTCAAGAGTCAGATTTAGCCCAGTTGGCAAAACGAGAAAGCAAGAGGGGTCCGGGCAGTCTTTTACTTGAACATGCTAAAAGGCCACCCCCAAACTGAATTTCAGGGGAGGGATCTTGGCAGAAGCAGACGTTCTTGCGAACCACAAGGCCTCCCCACTGCCAAGACGGAGGCGGCTGACTGCCTCATGTGGCCCAACCCTCATTTCAAAGGGTTTTCCAGGACACAGAGAAAAAGCGCAGTTTGACAGCTGTTGGGAAATGCCCAAGACTGAGACAGCCACCGGGTGTTTCTAAAGGGGAGGGGGAGCCTTTTTCAAGGGCCAAAGGAAGGTCCCTTTGAACCCACCTATGCTTTCAAACATTCACATCCCTCCAATATGCCAGTCCGGTCATTTCAGGCTCCTGCCAAGAACATTACAGGGCCAGCCACCCTTCCAACCCAGGAAAGAATCGGTTGGTTTGAGCAATGGGAATGTTTCTCATCCTCTGCCCTCTCCGCAAGGAAAGAGTCAACAGCTCTCCAGCTGGAGAATGACATTCTTCTCCCTCCCTGCTCCCTTGGCCGTCGACTCCCATGTCCCTCTGCTGTGCGCAGAGGGGAAAAATCCCATTACGCCACACTGGCCAAGCTCACAGCCTTCAGGTTCTGGGGAAGATTCTCCAGTGCCACAAGCAAGCAGTTCCCGGGGGGGGGGGGGGGGGCGGAGCCTCCTCAAGGCCACCCGGTTCCCCCCCGCAAAGCCCGGGGGCCCCCTCTGCCGAGGCTGGCGCGACCCCCCCAAACCGGGGCCCCGATCCCGACGCGGGCACCCACCTGGCCTTGAGCTCCTTAAACTCCTCCCTGACTTTGCTCAGCTCCAGCTGGAGGCGCGCCCTCTCCTTGGCCACCGAGTCCAGCGTCTTGCGGGCGTCCGCCAGCTCGGTCTCGTAGGCCGACTTGATGCCGGTGACTTCGCGGCTCACCTCCTCCTCCGACTCGGAAATGCGCAGGCGGAGGCCGGCGTTCTCCGACTCCAGCGAGCGCACCTTGTCGATGTAGACGGCCAGGCGGTCGTTCAGCTCCTGCAAATCTTCCTTCTCCTGCAAGCGGGTGATGCGGGCCGGGGAGAGGGGGGTCGAGCCGACCCCGCTCCGGGTGGTCCTCTTCTGCCCGGGGGTCTCCATGGCGGCGGTTCAGGGCCTGGCAACGGCGAGGGGCGAGGGCAGAGTGACGGCTGGGCTCTCTCTCGCTCTCGCTCCGGGTGCCTCGTCGCCTTCCTCTACGCAGCTCCCCGACTGACAGTCTGCCTGAGTCACCGCCTTGGAAAGCTCATATAGCGCCGGGAACTGGGAAAGCTGGGGGGGGGGGGGGGAGGGGGGGCGGGCTTATGCAAAGATGGTCCCCCCCCTGTTTTGCTGATTGAAAGTCCCCGTTTTCCTTGGGTTTGCGGCCCTTGCCCGGCTCTGAATTGTCCGCCCCCCGGCCCGTGTTGCCTCAAGGGCGCTTGACCCCCCGAAGGAATGGGAACGGCTGATGCTACAAGGGGAACTGGACTTGTAAGAATTAAGACAAGCCAGGTATAAAAATTTTTACACAATGAAATAGAATCAGAAACTCTGTCGGCTGGCCGTAACCACTCGGTGCGGAAGGAAAAGCGGTTTGCACATGCTCAGAGGTACTATATCCTGTTAGGTTTGCCAGCTCCGGGTTGGGAAATATTTGGAGATTCCGAGGGTGGAGCCTGAGGAGGGCGGGTTTGGGGAGGGACTTCAATAGGATACAATGCCATAGAGTCCACCCTCCAAAGCAGCCATTGTCTACAGGGTAACTGATCTTGGTCGTCTGGAGATCCACTGTACTAGCAGGAGATCTCCAGGTGCAACCTGGAGGTCGGCAACCATATATCGTGTGCTCCGGGACTCATATTCGACCTGAAGTCAGGTTGCAGTGGTATTTCATTCATTTGTGCCCTGCCTTTCTCCCCCATGGGAGGAGGCGCTCAGGGCGCCTTTCTAAGCAGGCTGCCTGGAGCAGGCACCGGCAGGGGAACCTAAGACCGCAACGTTGCAAAAGTGTGGGCGAGGGTGGCCAATCCTCCATGGGCCTCTGGATTCCAGCTGCTACTCTGCAGCTCTGAAGTACACTGGCTTGTAGTTACTTGATTGGCCCCATCTGAACCAATACAGTTGGGGGGGGGAGAATGTGTGTAGCTCCATAGAGACATAATGGCTGGCCCCCTGAGCAAAAAACTGTCTCCCCCCCCCCCCCCCCCCCCAAAACCTGGCCCACGCGGCGCGGGGTCCCACACCTCTTAACCACTACACCACACTAGCTCTGGCAGGGAAAATATATCGAAGCATGTAAATTTTCTCTAGTAAGAGCGGAAACAATGGTGGAGGGGGTTTGATTTTCAGTGGGAAAATGGCACCAGGTAAAGGATTAAGAGAACCAGTGTGGTGTAACAAGAGTGTTGGATAGGGTTGCTGGGATGGGAAATTCATTGGCACCATGAATTCAGAGGCTTTTCACAAAATCCTGGAGTTTTGGGGGTGCAGCCTGGGGAGGGACCTCAACAGGGTATAATGCCATAGAATCCACCCTCCAAAATAGCCATTTTCTCCAGGAGAACTGATTTCTGTCCTCCAGGCCTTACCTGGTGGCTGGAAACCATACCCTTGGACTAGAGTTCAAATCCTCCCCACCCACCCCCGCCCCATGAAGCTTTCTGGCTGATTTTGGGTAAATCTCTGCCTCTCTCTGTCCAACCTCTGTTGTGAGGTTAACATGGAGGGAGAGAACTATGAATGCTGACTTGAGCTCCTTGAAGGAAGGAGTCAAATGTGAAACAGATTGAAAAAGGCCTTCTTCCCTACAAATCATAATTCCCAAACTCTTTCATTGTGTAAAAATAAAAAAGTTCCAAAAGACCACATGTGGAACCACATGTAACTGTATCCTAAGCTGCACTCTGATCTTGCCCCCAAATCCAATCAGAATTAGTGAAATACTATACAGTCCTAAGAACACTTTCCTGGGTGTAAACTCCACTGGATGAAACGGGACTTAATTCCAGTGAACCTGTTAAGGAATGTTCCCATAGACTCAAGACTTGGTTTCTTGTTATGGAAACCAATTGGTAGATGGAAAGTACCAAATACATTTATTATTATGTATTTATTGGATTTCTTTACCCACCCACCTCCTTCTGAGGCACTACAGAAGATACAGGGACTGTCCCAAGAACATGATGTGAGCTTTGTGGTTGAATACATATCTGAACTTGGGTGTCCCCAGTCTTAGTCTGACAGTCTAATTACTACAGCTCACAAAGATCTCTACACTGCCACAGGAAGTGGTGGCGGCTACAAGCATGGATGGCTTCAAGAGGGAATTGGATAAGCATATGGAGCAGAGGTCCATCAGTGGCTATTAGCCACAAGGTACAGATAGGAACTCTCAGTCTGGGGCAAGTGATGCTCTGTCTTCTTGGTGCTTGGGCGGGGTCTACAGTGGGAGGGCTTCTAATGTCCTGGCCCCACTGGTGGACCTCCTGATGGCACCTGGTATTTTTGGCCACTGTGTGACAGAGTGTTGGACTGGATGGGCCTTTGGCCTGATCCAACATTGGTGTCTCTTATGTTCTCTTATGTTCTTATGTACACAACATACACATATGCCCCCCCACACACACACAGTTTGTCTGACGACAAAACACCCACTTCCCCAAGTTGGTAATTCTGCTAGCAGTCTGAAATTATGGCCAAAAAAATTTAAATTTGTTTGGGAGCCACATTTTTATGACGCACTGAAACAAATATGCAGTTTATGGTATCCCAATGTACAAATGCTAATTGTCTCGGCAATAGGAAAATTAATGCAAAAGCCGGGGCGGGGGGCTGAACAACAAGAGTTACCACCTTAGCATTTTTTAAAAACTTAACTGGACCTGTATTTCATTCTGGGGGGATAGTCAGAAAAGGCAGCTGTAAAACTGAAGGGGGGGGTTGCATATTCATTATTTTGCTGTATAAAATGCTCCTTAAACAGGGACACCTTCAGGCAGGCAAAACACTCTGCATATACTCAAAATTAAACTCACTTTGTTTTTGCATTGATTTGCTTTGTTAAAGTTGCTGTCTGTCAAAAGGACATGGCGTTCTGCACTGGCAAAGAAACACTGTGACCTAAATGTGTGTGCGCGTGCACATGCATGCACACTCTGTTCCAAAGAAAGACACTCTGCACATGCTCAGATGTGCCAGAATGTTAAAAGTGAGCTGGCAACCCTGATGCAAAAAGTAGGTTGAAGAAATGGCTTCCCAGCATTTTAAAAAGTGGGACACTGAGGCAGCCAGTACCCAGAAAGGCCGTTCTGCTCAGGAAGCTGTTCACTTTTGACCTACATATTCCTTGGCTTACAAAGGCTGCCAAATTTCTGCTGGTATAAAACGGTAGCTAAGAAACTGATCTATGAATCAGGAAAGGAGAGAGATTTGGGGTTTGCGGTTTTATTTTTGCCCTGACCTGGCTGGTCCTGGCTAGCCCTATCTGGTCAGATCTGGGAAACTAAGCAGGGTCATTCCAGGGTCGCTATGCAAAGGAAAGCCATGGCAAACCACCTCTGTTAATCCCTCGTCTTGAAAACCCTACAGGATCGCCATAAATCAACAGAGACTTGATGACGCTTTGCACATGCACATATTTATTTTTGGTTTTAACTGAAAATGTTTTTAAATATTACTGCAAGCTGCCTTGAACCACGAGGAAAGACGGGACATATATGTTTTGATAAATAAATAAAAGATCTGGGTTGAGCCTTGCCTTTTGCCGTAACCGCAGTCGGCAGTGGTAGATGAGCCACATCTCTCTCTCCCTCAGCTTCTCCTCTACAACTGGGGGAAATAATAACACTGGCATTCCCCGCAGGGCTGTTGAATGAGCTGAGATAATGCATTTGAAGCACGCTGAGCACACAAAACAGCTAAAGTCAAGCGGGTCAAATCCTTGCTCGGTTGTGAAACTCAATGGATGCGCTTGGGCCAGTCCTCTCCCTGCCCAACCCACCTTGCAGGGTTGTTGTGAGGGTAAAACGAGAAGAGGGGCAGAGAAGATAACCACCACACACTCCTACCAGGAGCTCCCTGAAGCAGAATTTTTTTTAAAAAAACCAATTTCCTCCTTCCTTATATTATAAACAAATGCAGTCCTAAGTCTTTCTAATGGGGAAGCAGGTCACCAAAGCTGCTCTGGAAATAAAGGGAAAGCCTTCGATCACAGCTTTGAGGTGCTACTGGACTCAAAGCTCCCTTTAGACCAGTGAGCCACTCTGGAGGTGGCAATGAACACTTGGGGAAGGAAGGAGTGATAGGAAAAGAACAACAGGCCCGTAGAGGACAGACCCCTGAGCAGGTGCAACCAGGAGTGCATTCTGGCAGGGAAGTCTCATTTGATTTGTGGAGTTACCTCACATCCCTACTTGCCCCACTATCCCTGCCTGATTTGGGAAGTGCTGCTGGCTTTTCCCACCTGCACCACCCAGCATACAGGAGTGCATTCTGGCAGGGATGTCTCATTTGATTTGTGGAGTTACCTCACCTCCCTACTTGCCCCACTATCCCTGCCTGATTTGGGAAGTGCTGCTGGCTTGGTGTTAATAGAATAGCTCTGTTCTCCTATGTATGGTTTTGGGCAGGGCTTCTTTTGTAGGAAAAGCCCAGCAGGAACTCATTAGCATAATAGGCCACACCCAGCAGCAGAAACTCGTTAGCATAATAGGCCGCACCCCCTGACTGCACAACTCATTAGCATATTAGGCCAGACCCACATTACCCAATGTGTGGTCATCCAGCCACACCCACCTTTTGCTTCTTATTCTGTTTAGCTTGTTTGTTGTCAAAACCCAGGGCCTTTTTTTGTTGCAGGAACTCCTTTGCATGTTAGGCCACGCACCCCTAATGTAGCCAATCCTAATGAGCTCCTGCTGTTGGGTGTGGCCTATTATGCTAATGAGTTCCTGCTGGGTGTGGCCAACTTGGGAGCCAGCCGGAACTCCGTTCCTGTGCGTTCCTGCCCAAAAATAGCCCTGGTTTTGGGAGAGATCAGCATTTGCTTTCTCCCCCTTTCTTAAGTGCTGCATTATAGTGCCTACGGTTGCCAGCCTCCATGTGGGGCCTGGAGATCTGCTATTACAACTCATCTCTGGATGACAGAGATTGTTCCACCTGGAGAAAATGGCTGCTTTGGAGGGTGGACTCTATGGCAATTATATCCTGCTGAGGTCCATCCCCTCTCCAAACCCTGTCCTCCCCAGGCTCCACCCCCAAAGTC